TGGGATCTGTCTCCTTAGATCGCATCAACACTGCAGGAGTCCTTTTCAGGGCTACTTGGTGGCCAGCAAAGCTATGACATTTTATATGGCACACAACTTAGTCACAATTATAACCTAAAGTCCCCCCCCCCCTTCGGGTGTGCTGGTTGAGCGTGACAGTCTTTTTCCAGCAAAGCACCTATCTGCCTACCACTTCACAAAAGCTGTAGGCCCTTGAACTAGACCAGTGGCTCCCAACCTTCATAATGCCGCGACCCTATAATACACTACCCTTATGTTGTGGGACCTATAAACAATTATTTTCCCTCATAATTTCAATGAATATGTGTTTTTCGATGGTCTTAGGCGACCCATATCAAAGGGTCGTTCAAAGCCACACACAAAAATATAGGGTCGCCACCGACAGGTTGAGAACCTCTGACCTATGCATTAGATGGGGAAGAATGCCAAAGATTCACCGCAGACAATCGATGTTGTAGAGTCGGTCCCTGCTTTATTGACTGCATTTGACTTCAACAGACACCCAGAAGATAGGCAACAGACAAAACTGACATGGGATGTCAGCTGGGTAAACAGACAGACAAATCTTCCCAAGGCCCGGAAGAGAAACCAGCCGCCTACAAGACAGGCACGGAAACACTGATAGACGTCAAGGACTACACATTGGTCCAGTTCGACAGCCGACTGCCTATGACCAAACGACAGGTGTTCAGTCTTCTCAGTTCCTGGAGGGCAGTTCGCAGAGAGATGCCTGCTGTAGGGACGGAGATAATGGTCGAGTGAGTTGCCTGCCTGTTTTATTGTCTATATCACTCATAGAAACATTTGATGACTGAGGACTGTTAACTGAGCACTTAGAAACATTTGATTAGTGATGACTGAGGACTGTCAACTGAGCACTTAGAAACATTTGATGACTGAGGACTGTTAACTGAGCACTTAGAAACATTTGATTAGTGATGACTGAGGACTGTCAACTGAGCACTTAGAAACATTTGATGACTGAGGACTGTCAACTGAGCACTTAGAAACATTTGATTAGTGATGACTGAGGACTGTCAACTGAGTACTTAGAAACATTTGATGACTGAGGACTGTCAACTGAGCACTTAGAAACATTTGATGACTGAGGACTGTCAACAGAGCACTTAGAAACATTTGATGACTGAGGACTGTCAACAGAGCACTTAGAAACATTTGATTAGTGATGACTGAGGACTGTCAACTGAGCACTTAGAAACATTTGATTAGTGATGACTGAGGACTGTCAACTGAGCACTTAGAAACATTTGATTAGTGATGACTGAGGACTGTCAACTGAGCACTTAGAAACATTTGATGACTGAGGACTGTCATCATAGCACTTCAGGCAAATAGGTGCTCCGACCCCTGCCCACCATCTTTATAGGCTCACAAACGTAGAACGAATGGTCACGGTTCTTCAGTGTGGATTAATCGAACTCTTGTTTAAGTGAGTTAAAAAAAAAAAAAGGAATTTCGATAGCTTAGTCACTATAATCTTGCTTTCCCCCTCGACGTAGGTTTTGGATCGGCATCCAGGAATCTTGTATACAATAAGCTAGAATTTCCAAGTCGACACAGTGAAAATTAGTATATGGAAATGAATATCAATTACAGCAGCCAGTGAATGTCATTTTGGTGCATGAAAATATGGTTCTAGCACCAAGCAGTAAACACTCAATGCACCCGTTTAAAAAAAAAAAAAAACTGGCATTCTTTTCTCACCCTGTTTAAAGCTGCTGGTCGAGTGGTTACAACGTTAGGCTTTCATGCGAGAGAAAGGGTTCGTGACCAGGTAATGTGAGCTTTTCTGTTCAAGGCACGCACACACACACACACAAATAAATCCCCATCTGCGCAATCCGTGGCAACGCTCTATCGAGATGGCCCCAAAGCCTCAGCGTCATCACCTCCCCCCCCCCCCCCCCCCCACCAACTAACCTGTCTTCACAACTCTCGAAAGCGATAAATAACAGACAGTAATGACAATCCGGTCATATCAAGCGCCACGACGGATTGGAAAAAAAATTATAGCAGAAGGCATGGTACTAGGAAGGAGGGGCAGGGGCCGACCGACACGAAGATGGGCACATGATATAAGTGACTCCTTGAGTGTGAAAGTTCATGGGGCGGGAGAACTGGCGAGAGACCGAGTTTCTTTCAGGCAGACTGTGATGAGAGCGACGTTCTGCAAAGGACCTGCTACATGATGATGACAAATGACAAACCGATTCAGAAAGTTGACAATGTGTGGTAATTAAAATAAAGTAAAGGACCCTTTTCCTGCCTTTAGGTGTACGGGGCATATAGGGTTAGTCCTATATTTTACAGACAAGTTGGAACTCGGTGGGTGATGGGGTCATCATCACGTCTGTCGCTTAACTTCCCAGGACTTGACACCGCACCCATTTGAGAGTGGGTCAACCTTGGAGACGAGATCCTTTAAAAACAAAAACACTTTAACTTCTGGACTCGAACCCACGATCGTCTGAACCACACCCGTCGTCTAGCCTCTACACCACATCGTTCTCCCCCCGCCCCCTCCCCACCTTCAACAACAGCAACGAAAAATCTACAAACTTACAATAGATTGGAGCCTGGGGTCCTTGTATTAGAGCCACCCAGCGTTCAAAAACGTTCGGTCATTCGATCCTCAATATGAGTGATATTGATATCATAGTTAGGAATGACATATAGACTGTGTGAAATACTTTATACAGTGTAATAGAAAATTCTTAGATACCTCAAAGATGTTGTTTTATAGAAGAATGTATAAACTTCCCTGAATAATCAAAATGTGAAACATGGATGTTTTGTAAGAAGTTCAGCGATGAAGACAACTTATATTAAAAGTGAGATAGAAACAGTTCTAATTGCTGACCACATTATAACTGTATAAAACAGTGTACATGCTGTGACGACTGGCATGCTTTCTGTTTTTTTTTTTTTTTTTTTTACAAAGAGAGACAATGAAATGCAAGGAGAAGACAGTTTGCAGAGGTTTTGGTCATGGTATGAAAGAGTTTCAGTACGATGAAGGTTAATGTTCAGATGGAGGTTGTAAGATATCCAGAAATTAAATTCACTGAGATTCTTAATGAAACCGAAACAACTTATAACAGCAATAACAACAAAGAAGAAACAAATTCGGCTGGCGCTTTTCTCGACTGCAGTCTTCCCATACCTTCAGAAAGATAACCAGCATGATCGCCATCGTTAGATCCTTTAAAAATGGATCGTTAGTCGTTCCGTCTGACAACATGTATACCTGACTTACTTACCAGCGTCTCTTTACCGGGGAGGAAGTTTATGGATAAACGTTCGCTTGATTAAATGAATGAACGACGTTCAAGCCCACTAGCACCGCACAAACAGCGATAAACACCAGGTGACACAAAGTGCCACTATTTGAGTGAGAATCCCCCGGGTACCAGAAGACTCGTTCAACCGTTAAGTTATAGTAGAGTGCCTGACGACAGCTGTAGTTGGGCTTTAAATAACAACATTTATGTTCTATTTTAGGGCAAAGTTATTAAGTATTTTTATTATTATTATTATTAATATTATTATAATGCATCGAGTCCCATTTTGGTTGTTATAAATGACCATGGATTTAGACGGACCCAGCCTAAAATGGTAACCTTGTAGACTGCTGGAAAGTTAAGGTCACCTGACCCATCAAGTTTTGATTGTTCTTTAAAGTATAAGTTTAGCATCATAAACCTGAAAATGACATAGGCGCGAAAACTGCTTCAGTTACTCTTTCGCGCAAGGGAATTAAGTCAATGTGTATGACACGCGTTGCTGGGTTTATTCATTGTGTCCCCTTAATAAATATTTTGTAGTTGCAGTTTTTGGCTTTCGAATCCGGCTCAACGTTAGTCGGGTCTTAATTATCAAGTGGCCTGGCTACCGCATGCATCAAATCGTGAACAACCATCTTTCTACAAAATGATAAAAACCCTGTCAAGAACCTTCACTTGTTAACTTCCTTTATTTCTCCCTTCATAATCGTCCTAGTTGTCAAAATGTGCCTTTTATTTTGCCTCCTATAAATACCCCCCCCCCCCCCCGATACACCAAAGAAAAAGACAGTATACTGTCTGAGGTTTATAACATTTTAAGGTCTTTCTGTACTACTCATTTTTGATAGTTCTAAAAGGTATAGTTTACAGATCAATCGGCAACTGTTGGGTAATATAGTCAGCCTCATGCCGGCTGCCTTTACTTTCCAGCAGTTTAACTGGCATCCATTTAATGGCTGAGTCGACATTGGAGCCAAGGTGATCTAGCCAAATATAGCCCGGCCCTAAATATGGTCTAATGGCTGAACGCGGTTTCTGGGACCTCTTCACGGGGGATCCTCATCCACATGGTGGCACTTTGTGTCATCGGGTGTTTATCGCTGGTGTGATGTCCTAGTGGGGTAAAAAAGATAGAGATAGATAGGATCCAAGGTTATTTTCAGTTCATACGTAGGAATCACTAACTGTAAATAACACAAAGTATTTTTGAATTGTTTCATATCTGCGTGCTTCAGCAACAATCCCTTACTGTCCTATTGGCGCATGCATACCAGAAGTAAAGTAAGTAATGGACCCTTTTCCACGCCTTTCAGACATATTGGGTGTATAGGGTTAGACCTATTTTTCATAGACCAAACGGCATCTTGTGGTTGATGAAGTCAACATCACGCCGGCCGATTTTATTTCGCAGGGCTGTACTTGGTACCCACTTAAGGCTGGGTCGACCTGACGATCAAGATCATTTTTGAAAGAAAAAAAATCAGTCGCTCGTCAGGTACCGAACCCACGACCATCCAATCCGCAGCCGAGCGTCTAACCGCTAGACCACGGTTGGTCCCATGCATACCAGAATACCTTGTATATCTCCCATTACTATCAGTCCTGATTTGTTATCATTTAGTCTTTAATATGTATTATATTTTTAGCCCAAGAGTTGCATCCATTTGTCCATAGACTATTGCACTCTGATCCAGCAGTTAAGAAGTTGTTCACTGAATTCCAAAACCTCAGAACCAAGGAAGAGATGCGGGCAAGCGAGCAAGTGGAAAAGCAGGGACTGAAAGTGATGAGCGCCATCGACGACATTGTCATTCATCTGGACGAATACGAGTATGTGGCAAGGCTTGTAAAGAGAGTCGCAGTCACACATGCAAAATGGATTGAGAGACAGCCGGAGATGTTTTTGGTGAGTATTTGGATCAGTTTTTAGTCGGGGAATGATCAGATAGTACTTTTAAAAGAAGTGAATTGAGAGCTTTACTCTTTAAGCACCATTTTTCTTCTTCTCCCTCTTCTTCTTCTTCTTCTTCTTCTTCTTCTTCTTCTTCTTCTTCTTCTTCTTCTTCTTCTTCTTCTTCTTCTTCTTCTTCTTCTTCTTCTTCTTCTTCTTCTTCTTCTTCTTCTTCTTCTTCTTCTTCTTCTTCTTCTTCTTCTTCTTCGTCTTCTTCTTCTTCTTCTTCTTCTTCTTTCTCTTCTTCTTCTTCTTCTTCTTCTTCTTCTTCTTCTTCTTCTTCTTCTTCTTCTTCTTCTTCTTCTTCTTCTTCTTCTTCTTCTTCTTCTTCTTCTTCTTCTTCTTCTTCTTCTTCTTCTTCTTCTTCTTCTTCTTCTTCTTCTTCTTCTTCTTCTTCTTCTTCTTCTTCTTCTTCTTCTTCTTTTTCTTTTTCTTCTTCTTCCTCTTCTTCTTCTTCTTCTTCTTCTTCTTCTTCTTCTTCTTCTTCTTCTTCTTCTTCTTCTTCTTCTTCTTCTTCTTCTTCTTCTTCTTCTTCTTCTTCTTCTTCTTCTTCTTCTTCTTCTTCTTCTTCTTCTTTTTTCTTTTTCTTCGCGTTCACCAGCTGTAAACTCTGGTGGAAAGTTATGGTGGTTCCTCCACTTCCGGAATGCAGTCCTTTTCCAGAACTCCAGTGTTGCGTGTCCATCCGTTTGACAGATCTGACTAATTTGTATGCAGACTGTTGGTTCCTCGCCTCTCAGGCAGATGCATTCCGACTCTGAAGGAAGCTCCCAATTAGTCGACTCTTACGACACACTTTTGGGTCGGCAGGGGTCTACTTTTGTTTTTCCTGCAACAAAGCCACGGAACCCACACGGGGAGAGCACCATTCAACTCACCATTCTATTCTTGGTGATTTTAATGATAATAAAATTATTTATTGTCTTCTGTCGCATTGTGTGTTGTGTTGTTGTTCCACCACAAGTGATGAGGACCACTCTTTCTTTCATCCGTCATGAAACTACAGTTGATTTCTCTGAGTTGGGAGCTGACTTACAAACCCAGTACTGGCCCTTAAGGATCTAGGACAGTGGCTCCCAACGCTACTAATGCCTTGACCCTTTAATACAGTCCCTCGTGTTGTGACGAACTCACAGTTCAATTATTTTCGTTGCTAACTCATAACTTTAGTAAATATGCGTTTTCCGATAATCTTTGCGACCCCTGTGAAAGGGTAGTTTGACCCACAAAAGGCTCGTGACCCACAGGTTGAGAACCGGTCATCCAGGAGAGCCAGGGCAGGAAACGGTGTCTGTAAGTAAGGGGCCTGTTATGGGGGTCTTTCTAGCCTACCTGTGCTGTGCAGCAGCCCTTTTTCTCTTGAAGCCTCGTACGTCGCTTGCTCCCTTTTCGGATAGATGTTGTTCGTCATGTAGTCTAGGAACAAAAAGTGTATTGAGCGGCACTCATAGAATGATGTAGATAGATAGAAGAACACACTAGACAACATAAAAATCGAAAGCTACAGTTACCTTGCCGGGAAGAATTAATCAAGTAACAGAAAGTGTATTGATCGGCACTCATAGAAAAGAATAGAAAGATAGAAGAACACACTAGACAACATAAAAATCATAAGCTATAGTTACCGTGCCGGGAAGAATTAATCAAGTAACAGAAAGTGTATTGATCGGCACTCATAGAAAGAAGTAGATAGATAGAAGAACACACTGGACAACATAAAAATCGAAAGCTATAGTTACTGTGCCGGGAAGAATTAATCAAGTAACAGAAAGTGTATTGATCGGCACTCATATAAAGAAGTAGATAGATAGAAGAACACACTAGACAACATAAAAATCGAAAGCTATAGCTACCGTGTTGGGTCATGTAGTCTAGCAGTTTTCAAGATGTCAGGCTCTATGTTAAAGGGTTTAAGTGATGCCTTTAGCGTGTCCTTGAAGCGGTTCGTTTTCCCCTGGCCACCATGAGAGCTTCTACTCTCCTGCATCTCACCATATATGATTGTTTGGTTCAGCTAAGTGTATTGGCCACTCGAAAAAGATCAGATCAGAGATAAAGATCCCTTTTGTACGCCTGTAGGCAAATCGTAAATATAGGGAGGGCACCCAATATTTTTACAGACCATTCGGCACTAGGTGGGTAATGTGGTCAGCATTACACCGGCTATCTTTACTTCCCCAGTACAAACATCCTGGTACCCATTTTAGGCTGGGTAGACCCGCGACGCCCCCTACCATGATAAAAATCCACGCAGCTAGCAGTGGGTTTCGATAGCGGTACGTTGGAATTACGAGTCGGACTCGCAACGTCTTAGCCACGGACGCCGCCAGATAAGAGATGCCTGAGGTAAATGTCCTGGTTACTAAAAAGGACCAAATAAATCATTAATGTTTCAGCTACATGTACTGGCCACTTAAAAAAGATGAAATAAGTGGTGGTTGAACTAAATGCAATGACCTCTCAAAGAAGATCAAATCAGTGATGGTTCAGCTAAATGTAGTGGATACTCAAAAAAGCCAACTAGGCGGGCGTTATTTGAATAGTGAAAGCTTGGATCTCGAACCGCTCCCCTCTGGAACAATTCGTTTTCTGAACACACTGTGACTGCATGGAACAGACTCGACTTTCGAACAAAATATCAGTTTCTGAGCGGTTGTTTCTGAATCTACATAAGTCACTGAATGAGATTACGATGAAAGAGCAACTTTCGCTCTCTGCAGATTCCTGCTTGAACGCGTACTGCCTGTTCATGATTTTGTTTGACAATCAATGCTTCTGTTCAGCCGCCAGCTAATGAACAGGAAGGTTAAGAAAAAAATCCATGGAATGTCCCTGCTCTCTAACACAGCTACTCTAAATCATCCACTGGGTCAGTAGGTCACTGCGAACTTTAAGAAACTGCACTCTACTCTGGAAAATCGAATTGATTCTTTGGAGGTGTGGGTATAGAGAATAATAGGATGACTGACTTTCTAGCCCACTAGGACATCACGCAAGCTATAAACACCCGGTGACACAATGTGCCACCATGTGGGTGAGGATCACCGTGGAGAGGTCCTAGAAACCGCGTTCAGTCTTTAGGCCATATTTATGGCCAGGCTTTATTGCGGCCCCTGGCAAGAGCCAGAGTAGGGCTTCAAATAAAAAAAAAAATTAATTCTCAAAAGGACGGGAAGTAATTAAATAATTTAATGAGAATAATAGGCCATATATAACACAACAACAGTCACGATCAGAGGTTCTGAAAATTAAAAAGTGAGTTATTGAAAGAAAATTTAAAGAGAGAGAGAGAGAGAGAGAGAGAGAGAGAGAGAGAGAGAGAGAGAGAGAGAGAGAGAGAGAGAAAGAGAGAGAAAAAAATTAAAAACATTGGCCACATTAAAAGACATAACGCGCTTTTGAAAACCATACTGGATGGAAAGGTTGAAGGCAAGAGAGTAAGAGGAAGGCAACGATACAAGTGGGAGACAACATCAAGAGATAAACTAACGGCAGTCTGAGATAGTGTAAAACTAGAACATGAGACAGAGCGTGTTGGAGAGCCCTTGCAGCCAACCTTCACTGTGGAGACGACACCCGGTTTATTGATTGACTCTACAGTAATGCAGTGTTACAAATGTGTTTTTAAGCTATCCTGAAACATAACTAACACTTAAACAATCATGGAAAAATCACTGAACACCCCCCCCCCCCCCAAATCCCGCCCCCCTCCCTCCCAATTGTTTGAGCATCTTTGGAAATATTTGGGTGCAAGTGACTTGAGGACAATGAACTTCGTACAGAGAAATTTGTGACCAAACTGTGTAGCAGATAAAGACACTGAGGGCTTCTAGTCAGTCATCATCACCATGTAGCAGGTCTTTTGCAGAACGTAGCTCTCATCACAGTCTGCCTGAAAGAAACTCGGTCTCTCACCAGCTCTCCCGCCTCATGCACTTTCACACTCAAGGAGTCACATATATCCTGATTCAGATCATTTAAGATGTCAATATTTCTCATCTTCTTTGTCCAAGATATTCTGAGAATCTTTCGATAGCATTTCAGCTCAAAAGCCTTATTCTCTTTCTTTTAAGGACTGATAGTGAGTGAGTTACTATTATGATGTGTCTCTCTAATGAGGTTACCGCAGAAAACCTAAAACACACTCAGAAGAAAGAGATAGCTGGATTTCATCAAATGTTTTTATTTATGATCTGAGTTCTTTTAACAGTTTGTATGCATTTTAATAGTTCTTCTTAAAGAAAAAATAAATTGTATATTTACGCACTGTTGTGAAAGTTTAAAATACTCGTATATATTCATTGTGCCAATAATTGTTAATACTTCGTTTGTATGCATGTTCAATGTTCTTCTTCTTCTTCTTCTTCTTCTTCTTCTTCTTCTTCTTCTTCTTCTTCTTCTTCTTCTTCTTCTTCTTCTTCTTCTTCTTCTTCTTCTTCTTCTTCTTCTTCTTCTTCTTCTTCTTCTTCTTCTTCTTCTTCTTCTTTTTCTTCTTCTTCATCTCTTCTTTTTCCTTTTTCCCCCTACCCACGTTCCCTTCCTCTTCCTATAACCTAAAAACTCATTCCCCATGCAGGACGAGTTTTTCGTTATTTTGAAGCCCCACCCTGGTCGTTGCCGGGGGCCTTAATATAAAAAAAGCCTATGGGTTAAACAGGGTTTTTGGTACCCTCCACTGGTGATCCTCATTTGAATGATGGCACTGTGTGTCACCTGATGTTTATCGCTCAGTGTGATGTCCTGGAGGGGTTTAACATCAATCAATGCAAATACCCCCCACCCCCTTTTTTCCCCCACTCATCCATCTGTTTTGATAGTATTTTCCCCCCACAGTTGTATCTTTATGTATTTTTGTACCAGTTTAAAATAAGCGTAAATATACATAAGTTAGGAAAGAAACGAATCCCTTGTTCGCTAATTTTAATGGGGGAAAATAGCTTCACTTTTCGAACAAC